AGTGCGTTGCCTGGATATCCAACCATGGAAGAAATGATAGAGGCATGTAGCAAGATAGGCACTCCGCATGTTGCGAGTGTTTCGACAGAAGAATTCGAGAGAATGCTCGAAGAACAACTCGAAGGATTTATGAAAATAGTAAAGAGTATGGAGTCAGGTTTTCAGTGACTCAGCTGTGCAGGTGTGATGGAAACATCGCTTCATGAGGGAGCACGCTTTCCATGTGGGAAACTGGTAAGCATGAAAAAGAGCTGCCCATTGCAGAAAAAAGTACAAAGCCTTTGTCCCAGGTGCCGAAGAGGAAAACATCATCCCAGCCAATGCTATTCAAAAACACATGTAGAGGGAAAACCTCTAGCTCTGCTGGGAAACTCCAAAAACAGTGCAAAGAGTCACCACATGATGACACAAATGGAGATGGAGCGACAGCCTCAAAGTCAATTCCATTAAAGGCCTCCGGTCAGAGAGTGATCATCAGGGAACGCCAATCAGATTCCCTCAGCAAGACCATTTGTCAATTTCCCAGTGATCCAGGCTTATTGCCACCAGGTGCACAATGTGAATTGGCAACGTCCAACTTGGTTTGTTTTTTGAATGAAGATCATGCGGTACTCCATACAGGAGTCTCTGGAACATTGAAAAAAGAGGCAAGACTTCCTGATTATAGGCAAGGACAGATGCAGTATTTTGGGGCTTGTTATTTATCCATGTGTTGTTTCTGCAGACTAGAATGAAGAATTGACAGTTTTAGCTCAAGCTTTACGTCCTCCATGGATCCTTTCGGCAAAAACTTTAGTAGCTAAAGCCATTGCTTTGCCTCTGCATGCAAATTATCCAATCAGACCATTGATCAGCAGGCAAGTTTTATCTATTAATGAGTCTACTGAAGTTCATGCCACCTGGGTAAAGCAGATAAGTCGCGATAGACCTGTAATCACCTGCAACTTGACATAAAATGGCAAGACAGTGTCAATTCAAGGGACAATGGACACAGGTGCCGATGTCACAGTCACCTCACATCTCTTCTGGCCCCAGGAATGGAGCTTAAAAACTCCTTTGAGTACCCTTTCAGGCAAAAAAGGAAAAGGATATGCTTGTGTCTCCACAGGTGCAGGACCAAAGTGGGTTCCTGCAAAGTGCGTGAAACCGTATCAAGCTGAGAAACAAGCAGACGAAGACTCCAGAAATCAAGAAGCCAGTACACAAACGTGATTTAGCATGAAAACAGCATTCAACATCTTAGGCATTGAACAAACAGCGTGCAAAATTTATGGACTGAGGACTTTGTGAGGGAGGGGTGTTTAATACAGAAATTTAAGAACTTTTGCGAGAGATAAGGTTGTTGAATAAGATCAATTAGCCATTGTATTTGTGCCTTATCTTTTGTTGGTTGCCTTATGCAACACAGTTTTGCCATGAATCAGTCGAGAGAAAATGTCTGGAGAGCTTTGACCAATGTGTCAAATCTAGACATCATCTGCTTGACTCATTCAGGGTCAGGGAAGCCATTCTAAAACAAGTAATCAAAGAAAAAAGTTGGTTTTTTTGGCAAAGAGAAGAGGGAGATACAGGAATCCAGAAATGGAGAGACATTTCTTTGTCCTATTCTCCAAAACAGTATCAATCCTATTTGCCATTGACAGAAAGGCTTCCAACTCTCCCTGGGTAAACCAGGATTTATAAAAAATTAAGTAGAAAGTAGTAGAATGTTTAGTATGCCACTGAGGTGAAAAATACAGATTTTAGAGGGGTTTAATACACGGAGTAAAGATGGAGGAAGAAAGGTGTGGTCTTTTTTAGCTCTTCTTCTTCCTTCTTCTCCATGATTCTGCAGTTTTTGGGAGCACAAAGAATGTTTGGTTGAAAGTTAGTTGCAGTTTTAGTTATGTAAGTAGATACTGAAAACTTAGTTGTTAAAATAGAAAAACAATACACGTGTCCGTAGTTAACAAGGTTAGAAATAGATATAAAGATGAGGCAGCCGCGTGGTTCGGGGCCATTTTGTACCATCAGAGCAAAATGAGCCAGGTTGTGGTGAATTGAACTTGTGCAGATAGTCTGGAGAGACCTGCCAAGTTTTGTAATAACCTTCTAATAAACATGAGAAACAAGATTCTAATGAACTTGGGAGTTTTTCTTCAAACCCAGAGAACTGAGATAAGCGGGACTGCCCACGAGGGAGGATCCCAAAGGAGCTCAGCCCAAAGGGGACTGAGAAATCTGTGAGGAAAGAAAAACACAGAAGTATAGAAGAAGCAAGAGAAAAAAAAGAACAAGAGAAGTTACAGGTTTTAGGAGATCTGTGATAGAGATGAGGAAGTGTTAAACTCGTTCCAACCAGCTGCCCAAAGCAGTGCCTTTAGTCTCTTTTGGGCTGGGGAGTAGCACCGGCCTTGTTGAACGCAGGCAGCAGCACGAGCAGGGCTCCTCCAGCAGCAGGGACACACCACGAGCCAGGAGGGGACCGTGGCACCAGAGGGGACTGTGGCACCAGAGGGGACTGTGGCACCAGAGGAGACCGTGGCACCAGAGGGGACTGTGGCACCAGAGGGGACCGTGGCACCAGCCGTGCCCAAGGCCTGAAAAGGGTGGCAAAGTCAGGTGGTGCTGCCTGGCTGCATGAACAGCTCAGGCAGGGCGTGGTGAGGAGCCAGGTCTGGGGGCCATCCAAGGAGTCCTGTCAAGAGCAAATGGTTCTAATATTCTCTCTGGGAAAAAAAAGGGGCAATCTTTTGAGTGAACTGAAGTGCTAATAAATATTTGCTCACGTATGGTGGGGTTTCTCTGCAAATGGGCTTTGATGGAAAACTTGTGACCACATTTGGTTTTGCAGCTTTATTGAGGAATGGAGAATTGTTTGTAGCTCAGTATTTTCTCAGGAGGAGCCTTACATTTTAGCACAGGAGGAAGGTAAGGCAAAGGTTTAAAAGCTTTCCCCTCCTGAAGTGACACACTTTCTGAGGAGTCTGAGGAGAATTCCCCTCAGCCTCTGCCAGGGCTGTTTGCCTCTTCTGCAGGCTCAGGATTCTGGGAGTTCCAGGAGCCTCAGGTGACACGGTATTTTCCTCTGAATATTTCTTGTTGTGCAGTATACAGGGAGAATATTTTGTGTGAGATTCTCCTCTGGGCTTTGAGGTGAATCTCAGTAATTCTGTTGATTTTCATGTCCAGATGAACTTTTTGTAGATAGGAAGGAAAAGGGAAGAGGCACCATGGAAAATTAATTGCTCAAAATTTGAGTGGCCCAACCACATTAAAAATGAAGTCTAAACTGAAAGAAAACTTTTATTTATTTTCTTTTTCCTTGGTAGGTGGGTTAAAACATGAAGTGTAAATAAAGTTCTTTGAAAAGGTTCAGCCAGCACCCAGCTGTATGAAAATCAAAAGGGATAAGACAGGGCATGGGAAGAATCTTCAGCCCTTCCCGTTGAAGGTAAAAGAGTAGGACAAGTGCCTCTGGCTGTTACCCACAGGTAATGTGTTATTTGTAGCCAAGAGCAGATGCCCCAAGCTGCTGGTGGCCCAAGCCCTGCCATGGCTGTCCCACTTTCAGTCCTAGCTGGACCAGGGTGGCTGGCTCGGGAGGGGAGGAGGTGGGGGGATCTCAGGGGGCTTCCTCTTCACAGCCGGGCTGGGGGGCCGTGGGGGAGGCACGGAGTGCTGGTGCTCTGCTTTCCAGGTCGACTCCTGCTTCTGAGGCCACATCTGAGAGCTGTCGAATGAGGCAGTCTCTGGGCTCCCTGGGGGCAAGGGAGAGTCACACCTTCTTGGCTGGTATGCTGGAGCTGCAGCAGGGTGACTGTGGAGAGAGGAGGTGGCTGAGGCCCCCAGCTGCCATGGGCACTCAGGGACCCTCCTGCACAGCAGGGCCCAGAGCGGCCAAGGCTCCCCAGCACGGCTGGAGCTGCTGGCACAGCTTGGCCCAGCTGGACAGCTGCCCCTCAAGGCCCCAAGCAAGCAGGGGATGGCTCTGGGCAGGGTCCCTGGCCAGGAGCGGGCCCCAGAGCACCTCTGCCTTTCAAGGGCAATCTCGTCCCCGCTCTTTCTCCTGCCCACCTTGCTTTGCCTCTGCCTGCTGCTCCTGGGGCTGCTCTTGGCCAGGCAGCCTCAGTAGGAGCCAGCACTGGCTGCAGCCCCAGCAGGCTCCCCAGGACAAGGCCCAGCAATTAAGAGGCCAATGAAAGGCCTGGGCAGCAGCAGAACTCTCAGCAGAGTTATTTGGGCAACCACTGACTACCCACAAGTGCACAGCAGCCTCACTGGGAATGTTTCCTGACTATGAGCAGCCTTTCAAGAAGCTGGAGGGTGGAGATGAACAACAACTTACCGTTTCTTGTCCTTCCACCACCAGAATCCAACATAGCACAGGAGCATGGAAAGTGGCACTGTGAACAGTGTCACTGCTGTGCCTATCATGCAGGACTTGCGCACATCCTGCGGGCAGAACACTCTTGGGGTGCTCGGTGGATTCTCAGCATTTATACTGGACTTGCCAAGCGCATCTGTGGGAGCAATGGGCAGCGTGAGCCTGTGCTGTGCTCCATTGCTGAGCTGGCAGCACGCTGGATACGGCCAGGACATTCTCTGTTTCCCCCAGAGCTGGGGCCTGCAGGCACCTTGCCACCCCTTGGCACAGGCTGTGCCACCCAACAAAGCCCAGAAGGCCGAGAGCAGAGCCCGGGACAGCACAGCTGCTTGGGCAGTGGCTCCTTCCAGGGACACGGGCCAAACCCATCCCTGAGCAGCCACTGCCACCCCTGACTCTCCCTGCTCTGTGACAGCTCCCCCAGCCCAAGGGGACAGAGCCAGGCCCTGTAAGGGGCCAGTGCATCCCCTGCCCAGTTGGGAGCCAGGGCTGGCTGTGGCCCTGGGCTCATGGCAGGGCTCCCACTCTGGGCTGCTCCTGTGTCTTGGGCCTCTGGATGCTTAGGGCCAGCTCCAGGAGCAGCTGCAGCGGGAGAGATGTTGGTGCACAAGTTCCGATTCCCAGGGGCTGGGAAGGAGCTCCAGAGGCCTGGAAGCCGCGGCACCTCCAGCTTTGGCTGCTGCCGGGCCATGCAGGCCCTGAGGGAAGAGCTGCTGGCACACAGCCCTGCCGAGGGAGAGCCCAGCACAGCAATTACCTCCTGTGCCTGGGCCTGGCATCTCCTCCTTTCCTGCACCAGGAGCTCGCACAGGGCCATTCCTTCCTCTAGCATATGCCATCATCTGCACAAACATCTGCTCCAGCACTTGAGAAAGGAAAAAGGACAGCTGGATAAAATAGAACTGTTCACCATTAGGGGAGGTGGTATCTTCAGGAGGCAATACTTGTCAAAGTCATGGATAAGGGTCAGGAAAATACCCAGGTTATTGGGGCTGGGCCAGGGCCCTCCCTCCTCCAAACAGCCACTACACCTGATCTAGCCCAAGACCAGGAATTTCAGGGGATCTCAGGGTGTGCATGGCCTATGCTGCAGTTTGGGCTCCCTGTCATCTGATGCCAAATGCCTTCCTACAGGGACTGGGGAGAAGCTGCAGCCAGGCCATGCTGGGAAACAGCCCTGAAGGCCATGAAAGCAGCAGCGGGGCAGCAAGGCTGCCATGGATCCCTTCCTGCTGTGCCAGGCACGGCGTGTCCAGATGTGCCCCTGGCTTCTGGATGTCAGGAGAAGGCTGAGGGACATGAACCCACCATGGCGTCTCTCCAGATCACTCAGCATCCTGTCCAGAAGTTGGGATGCCTCCAGGGATTTCTTGTCTTCTATCTCTTTGTTCTTCCATCTTGGAGGACCTTAATGGAAAGTAGTTCTGTTTCTCCATCAGTCCAGAGTAGCAGTGAGTGCACCTGGGTGACTGGTGCCCTCCAAGGCACTCCCTCCTCTCT